AGAAATCCTGAAAAGTTTCTAAACACATTTTCTGGAAAAAATACTTCTATTTTTAACTGCAGTTTAAAAAAAAATATGCATTAAAGATAAAGAAATAGGTTCTCTCCACTGATTCATGCAAATAGAAGAGTTTTAGCACTAACTGACTGTAAAGTTGAACTACTCAGGTCCTGGTGAGGTTTGCTGTGTTTGACTTTCATTGAACCACATACTGTATAAGTTTCTTTCCATTCATCAGACACACTGGGCGGAGGAGAATTCCAACCGCGGCCGGATAATGAGTAATAACACAAAGAAGACCATCATCAAAGCTTGACAGCCTGGCAGAATGGTGTGACTTTACACATTATGGTCTCTAGCTTAGAGTATATAAAAGCTCTGACTATTGGAGATGTCTTTAAAGAAAAAGTCCGCTCATATTCAGAATTAAAACTTCTGAAAGTTATTTAAATATAAAATTATTTCATACTGTTCAATAAATGATAAGTAAGTAATTTTCATCTGAATGTGCTTTACTGGAGGCATCCATGTTTGTCAAAGAACACTGCTCAACCGGAACTGAAAAGTGAGGGGAAGACACAGCGGTTAGTTCAGGCTCAGTGGGAAAATTTACCCAGAATGCGGTTGTTATAGGCTAACGAAGAAACTGACTGCCAATCAGATTTCCTGTGGTACTTGAACGGGTCGTAGTGGAGATAAATCCCTTTTTCAGTGCAAAGGTCAAACGATCTATTGGGGAAAGTGGATCAAAACCTCCTGTTTGAACCCCAGCTCAGTTTGTAGCTCAGTTGATCCTTCCAGGGAGAGAAGGTCTGAAAAATCCAATTTGCAGGATGACTTCCTGCCGAGAGGCAAAGACAAAAAAAAAGTTAAAACTCAGGTTGACTAAAACTCAGTTTGTCTCAGCAAAACTCAGCTTGGCTAGAGTACCCGAAACTGGCAAACACTCTGGCGTCGAGGTAGTGGCAGTCAGCAGCTTAAGAACTCTCCATTAACGAGGAAGGGAGACAAACACAGAAACACAGACACAAAGACAGGAGTCCCGACAAGTGCTGTATCTGGTGTTTGTCACAACGCGCTATTATCCAAGTCATCTTGAAAACATTCTTCTTCCAAATGTTGGCTACATATTACGGGTTTTTTCTCTGGCCAGAAGTTCGATGGGAAATCCTTCCTCTTCAAGTTGGCGATCCAACGACCAACCCGTCCGTGGAGGATCAGGAATCAGAAAGGTGGAATAACTCTTTTTTTTACTTTTACCCGATGTATTCCAACATCCAGCTGCCATGCACGTGGGCATTGTCAGTTTCACTATAGCTCTGGTGAATTTCAATGGTGAAGTCCTCTGGAAATCTTCAATAATTGTTGTTGATTGCAGATGTGTCTAGTAGTTCCGATTGATTTAGCTTGTAAAGCGGGGAGAATGACACTAGTCTTTTTTTTTTTAAACAGTGTCCTGCCTGGCAATGTGGCAATAAGAATAATTGTCTTGATGCCAAAAAGAGTCCAACAGATTCTACTTTCACAAGTGGAGCAGTACGGCTATAGTGTTCCGCTTGTTTTATGCTTATAAATTGCTTTATTATAATTATCCAGGGAGTTTTACAGATTATATGGACACTGCAATGCAAATAGAACAGGAAAGGAAAAACAGAAAAAAGGGAGAAAAGATGAAAGAAGGAGGAGATAGAAGGGAGATAATGATAAAACATCTTCAGTCTGCTTTATCACCTCCAAAGAGATGTAAAAAGAACAGCACAACCAACGGATATAGTATAAGAGATAAAATAAAGCAAGACCTTGATACTATCGCTGAAGTATAACTAATATTATTTAATCTGACATGTATTCTGTGTTACCTGAAGATAAGAATACGAGCTTTCTGTATGGAAGTGAATCTCTGAGTACCTGGAGCCAAGCACCTGTAGTTGTTAGTGAGGGTGCACTTGTGCATGTAAAGTTTATCCATAGAAAAAAAATGCTCAATAGTGGTTGTGGAGAGCTGAAGAGGCGCCCCCCAGAGCACTGAGTCCAGCGCCGGGAGACCCAAAGCCCCAGGCGCCCAAGGGGACCCCAAGAGCAAAGGCACCAAGAAGGGGCCCGCCCAGGAAATCCGACCCCCACCAAGGGAGGAGGAGAGACAGCCCAGAGGAAGTCCCCCAGCCACTGCAACGCCCGAGCCCCCAGGAGCCCATGGGCCCCAGGGATCTGAGGCCCTAGGGGTGCCCCACCCACCGGCAGGATCCCCAGCCGGGCCTCGCGGAGAAGCCGCCAGGAATAAGCCGGTAGCCACCCGGGCATCCACTCCCAAACCCCGAGCTCCACCAGTGCACCAGCGGGCCCAGGGGCCAGCCAGCGGAGGGAAAGCAGGACAGGGGGAATGGGCTCCACATATGGCGGTGACTTGAGATGTGCTTGGGAGAGGGGGCAGTTCTGACCCCAACCTGGGAAAGAAAGAGAGGAAATAAAAAAAAGGAAAACTCACAGTCACAATCATGCCTTCCCCCCTAGTGCCCCCACTCACACCACACAGAAAAAAAAAAAAACCTTGACGCACATTCACACATAACACTTGGATCCAATAATACCAGGACCAAAGACTCGGCGGCACCGGTGGTTGGTCCCGGGATTACCGGATGACCCAATAAGTGAACCTAAAATCCGGATGGGGGGAGGGGGCAGTGACACTGCCACACCAACCTATCTCATTCTTGCTTAATTGAAAATGGAAGATAGAGCCATGATAGATGAATAGAAACGCACACAAGGATTGTAGATATCTCTTTAAAAAACAAATTTGGAAAGTCTTTTAACACTTCCTTTAAACCATAGGCGTTTTTAGCCTATTTTTGGGGGTGCTGAAGTAACGCTCATTTGAATCAAAGCACCCCTAAAATATCAGTTGTTCTTTTTAAATACTGTATGCTCTTTATACAATAAAAAACATACAAAACTAAAAAATGTGACATTGTAAAAACTATACAGTATTTGGTTATTTGACCCTTTCAGTTATGTTCTAGTTCATCAGAAATAAACAAAACAAAAAAACAAGGAAACAAGCCCGATGGAGCTCCTGAACTAAAATGTTGAGGAAAACGTTGCATTCAGGTGTTTCTGAAATGTTCAGTCAGATTTCTGCACCTATTGATGGTGTGTTGGTGAAATGTTCACCAGCGAGGTGCTCTAATGTGTCTGAGACTGCTTTGTTTGAATATCTTTAAAACCACAACTCTATTTCAATATTAACATTTACTGAAACGTTAGTAAATCTTTTCTAGTTTCTGTCAAGGTTTGGTTGTGGTTTGGAGGACCCAAATGCAGAGGCAGAGAGGCTGAGGAGACGTCTTGGAGTTTAATGGGGAAAAAACAGTAAACAAAGGCAGGAATCCAAAAATCCAACTAATAATAAAAAGAAAACCAGAACTATGGAGACATCTGGGGAAACCAAGCATGAGGAGCCAGGGAGAGACAAGGTAGGAGGACAACAGCATGGGAGGACAGCAAAGACAAGGAACCAACAAAGAGTGAGAGCAGAGGGAGAGCATATATAGCTGACAGAGACAAAGGGAGGGCTAACGAGCTGATGAGGAGCAGGTGTGAGAGGAGACAACGAGGGAGCCAAGGGGAAAGGAACACACACACACACACACACACACACACACACACACACACACACACACACACACACACACACACACACACACACACACACACACACACACACACACACACACACACAAGAGGTCAACAGAGGACAACAGAAAAACATGAGAACTAACATAAATCTAGAAATTACAACAAAACTGGAATAAAACCAATAAAACTAGAAAACAAGGAGCAAAGCAAAGTACAACAGAACCAAGACCATGACAGTTCCTAGTTATTTGAATTTAGAATCCATTTTCTGATTGCCAGTCTAAAGAGGGAGAGGAGCAAAGGGGGAGAAGAGGAGCAAGGTGTGTGCAAAGTGAAAGGTCAGGAAAAACCAGACAGAATAGCAGCAGCTGCTAAACTGGTAAAGATTATTTTACATTTATCATGGAAGTCATTTGGCACCAAAGAGAAAACTCATTTCATGAAAACTGATTCAAATATTTCCATGAAATGATTTGATTTAAAAGCTTTAATTGGTTAGAATATTCCTCTAAAAATGCTGCTTCTTGTTTTGCTGTTTTTTGCACCAGTCTCAGATCAGATGCATTAGTGAACGATGGAGTCAGTTATTAGCTAAACACACTGAACAAGTTTCAAAAATATGTTTAGAAAACAGTGAAATTAATCATGTCTGTCCAGACAGCTCTCTGGGGGCTCAGCACCCCTTAACCTCTGGTCCTAGAACCGCCCCTGCCTTAAACATAATATTTTGCAACTTAATGTTAGTTTGTGAAAACATTTGCAAAACACTGTATTTATGTCTTTTACATTATTAACGACCTTTTGAAAGCAGTTTTTTCCTGTGGTTTCCGCTATGACACGTTAAATTTTTCATAGTTTAGGATTTGGAAAATTAGCTTATACTTTTCTTTTTTCCAAAGATCAGAAGCAATTAAACCAACTGCATGATTCACCGCTGATGCAAACTGCATGACTTCACTGTGGGAGGTGATCCAATCAATAGTGTGAGATGAATGATTTGATGAAGGCTGCATCACGACTGGTTAGTGAGTGTCCCTGTTAGGATGTAGTACTATGAAAGTGTAGTAAAGGAGTGGGCGTGTGATGATGGTGAAGTCTGGACAGTACACTCATCTTCTAAAGTACAGTTCAAACTCAAAGATCTGCCCACCTTTTCTCAGCTTCTCATCACATCTACAGCTCATTCTCAATCCCTCCACATATTTCTCATATGTTTTCTAAAGCCTTGGTTCCCTCCTCCTCACTTCCCTCCTCCACCCTTGAAAGATGGAAATCAGGACAGTTCAGCAGCGGAGGGGTTAAGATGAACCCAGCTTTATGATTGGCTGCCGGCCGGCGGCTTGATGCAGCCTACAGAGCGAGGTAACCAGGCAACCTCAGACAGGGTGAGGAGAGAAGAGGGGCAGAGGACCGGGGAGTTAGAGCAAGAAGCGCCGAAGAGAAGCCTGACATAGTTATGTGAGGAAATGTTGAAAAAGATGTGAGGGAGCTTTGGAGCACTCTAACCGGGATGGGAGACGGGATTACTGTCCCTGCTGAAACACACTGTGGATGTCTGAGGAACGCAGCAGCAGATTAACGCGGGGATGACTGGATTCTGAAAGCATTTTCCTCGAAATGGGAACTAACTGTGCTCAGTTTCACTGCAGTGCAAAGGTAAGTGCGCAAACGGTGCGGAGTGATGTGGAACAGTTGGAAGGTGACAGTGGAGAAAGTGTGCACACTTGAGACGCCTGTGGATTCAGTGCGGCTCCTCTATCTGCAGTGAATTATCCACTACTACTGCTGCTGGTGCATCGGGATTTCACTGTGTGGAAGTGAGTGTGTGTGTTTGGCGGTTGCATAGGACTGACCCCCACCCTCCCCAGCCCACAAAAGCCCAATCCCTCCCACTGACACGGTGGTCAGAGCCGTTTGTCCGCCTTTCGGCGGGAGAAAAGCTGCATTTTCCATGTGCGCTCTTGGTCCTGCAGATCCAGCCTAACAGTTTAACAGCCAGGCGACATAATCTGAACTTTTCTCCCCTCCTTCCTTTCAGAGACTCAGTTTTACCAATGACCTGACTCTTCCATGTGTTTCACTGCTGGATGGCACCACCACCTCCTGCAGGGATAAAGACATATTTGGGCCACAGCAGCCCGTGTGCGGCTTCACAATAACCCATCACACCTTGTGGTGTACATATATATTTATTTGAACTATTTTTGACCCTTATCGGTGCTTATAGCCTATTTGACCTTATGATGTCGAAAATCTGGAGCGAAAAACTTCTTTTACGCACGGGTTGGATGGTTCCTGCCTGGCGCACGGTGGGAGCATGGTTAAACTGCCTGAAACACGGAGCTAATGTTGATGAAGTTTTAATGCAGAAAGGTAGTCAGTAGTCTGTAGACCGCATGCGCCTCTCAGTCACTGGGATCTGGTTGATCGAGTAAAGAGGAGGGGGGGTTGGATGAGCGCAGCCCCGATCAGTGCGCTGAGAGGGGCCCATGCAGGCTCCGCTGCAGCTAAAAGCCGCATTAATCATGAGGCTGAGCGCTGCAGACCCCACTCTGCCTGAAAGGCACTAGACTCACATCAGCAGCAGATGCATTTATAAAACCGACCTTTGATTATGATTGGGAGATTCCCTTTAATAAATATATATTATTTGTATTGAAAAGTTGCATTTTCTAATTGTTTTACTGATCAGCAAATTGTAATAAATAGCCTACTGATCAGGGGCGGATTTAGGAAATGTGGGGCCCTAGGCAAAGACAGGCAGGGGGCCGTCTGAACAGAGAAGACAACACATCAAACAGCCCCATTCTCCAGATAGAGAAATGTTAATAGAATAGACATCCATTATCTGTTCTAGGTTGTGTCCCTCTCTTCTTGTCCCTTTTCTTCTTGTTTTCCTCTCTATGTTTTGTACTCAGCTGACTTTTCATGCTGTCTCTAAAGGAATGAAAGATTTTTTCCAAGCACTAAGCTCACTTAGCTGATTGCTCCTTCCTGTGTTTCCAAAAAGGCCAAAGTAAATAACCCAGTCCTTCTTTTCACTGTAGACAAGCCATGATCTGCTTCTCTGTTCTCCATTTTTCATTTGGATGAAATAATAGCTGCATGAATCATGACAGCAGACAAGATAGAGGAGAGCAGGAGGCGGGGTTACCAATCTACTCGCTCTGGAGAGCAGAGTTCGCTGCTTTTAGATGTTGTCTCCAAAGTCTCCAGTAGCATAAAAAAGTCTCTAGATTTGGCGCTAGGAGCTTTTTAGAAATCAAAGTGCTAGAGGGGTCTGAAAAGTGGCTAAATATAGCGACTAAAGCGCTAAGTTGGCAACACTGCTCTTTGCATGGTTTGTTTTCAAATGGTTTGCTGCTGTCTGTTTGGACCTTTCTGAACATGTGCAGCAAATGGACTGATCCAATATGCTGGACACTGAAGGGGGGGGGCTGAGACACACTTAATATTATCAGCGTTCTGATGGCATTTTAGCCAAAGGATTTTTTTAAATCAAAAACATAATTAATGATAAAAAATAAGGAATGGTTGTGTTAACCATACATGTAAGTAGAGTTTTATGGGCCCCTAGGAACTTGGGGCCCTAGGCAGCTGCCTAGTATTGACTAATGTTAAATCCCTTCCTGATCTTCCAACTCTCTTTTAACTGGATTTATTTTTCTAGAATATTCACTCACTAATCACTGCTGGGAAGGATTTTTGAAATTCATAACCACCCATTCATGTTAAAAAATCTGTCAAGATTGTATTGAAACAGGAAGTGCTTTAATTTTGAACGGCTAATGATGTGTTTATAATAATATTAACTTTGTAAGGATAAAAATGGAGCATGAAAGTTTTATTTATGCTTTTTATATATAAATATATATATTGTATTTTCTTTAATAGGTAAATGGAGCACTTGTTTTTATAATGTCATATTTAAAATCAAACAGACAATATTTGAACCTTAACCTAAACTAATCCTATTTATTTCTGCTATCCAGAAATATTACAGAAAGCTCATGCATAATGTGCTTACCACCATCACCACCACTTATCATTAGCCATGGTTTCCAATCATACTTTGAGCTTTTAGGAATTGTTCTTTTGCTTATATCCTAAAATAACCAAATCAAAGTTGAGGTTTTTGCAATAAAATCAATGCTTAGTTCCTCTCCATGTTTCTTAACCATTTTTACTACCAGTAATGAGAATTTTGTTGTGCCCCTAGTATCAGCAAAACAAAATGTAATTGATTTTCTTTTTATTTCTGATGAACATCGTTTAATTTTTCTAGAAATGGATGCCATGAAGCCAGATGGGAATTACAGTTAAAGAAAAGTAAATGGAAGAAAGTCGGACCATTTGATATGCTAACCTTTGCTGAAACCAACTGAAAACTAGATTCACCATTTGCATGTTATAAAGCAATTCCTGTACCAGTGAGAAAATTATTTGTCATTGGGTTATTTTCATTATCAGATAATTCAATTTATTTCTCTAGCGCCTATTCACAACACAAGGTACTTTCCAGTTCACCAGATCATCCAATCAGATTGATTCAAAGTTTTCTATCAAAGGAAAACCAGCTGATTGCATCGACTCATTGACTCTTCAGCAATCCCTCACACTAAGCATGCTTGTAGCGACAGTGGAGAGGAAAAACTCCCTTTGAACAGGAAGAAACCTCCAGCAGAACCAGGCTCAGTGTGAGCGGCCATCTGCTGAGGCCCACTGGGGTTCAAGGAGACAGAAGCAGACATAGAAAAAGAAGCATAGATACAAAAGGCAACTGTTAACCAGCTCCACAGGCGGCCCCGTCCAGGAAACACACAGCCAGGCAGACGAGCTAAAGAGTACACATCCAGTTAGTCACAGTCAGAGAAACAGGACTACACTGGAAAAATGGCCGATCTCCAACATCTAGAAACAAAGGTGTTGATGGCAGCAGCACAGCTGATATTTCTCTCCAGGATGGAGTCACAGCCAAACAGGAACAGACCAGATGAAGCTACCAAACAGCTCCTGTATGGCAGTGAAAAGCTAATCATATCCAGGGCTGCAACTAACGATCAATTTACTAATCTATTAATCTTTCAATAATTTCTTTGATAATTAACTGGATATCAAAAGGTGCATTAAAGTAGCCTCGTGAGACCATCCTGATCTCGTGAGCTTTCAAGGTTTCACTCACAGATCAGTCTGGAGACTCTCCATTGAAGAACATTTGGAGCCGTTCACCAAACGAACGTCCAGTCAGCGTTGGTTTTGAGGCGGGTTGAGGTGTGACGCAACGAGAACCGCCACAGTTCAGTCTAAAGAGCATGGCGGCTTCAGCCGATGAAACTAGCGTTAGCGGGGCTATCGAGCAAGTTTTATCGGAATTACAGAGTATTTCTTCACTGAAAGAAGAGCAAAACACTGCTCTGGAGGCTTTTCTCAGAGGAAAAGATGTTTTTGCTCTTCTCCCGACTGGTTTCGGCAAGAGTTTGATCTATCAATTGGCTCCTCTTCGTCGTCGCTCTGTTAGTACGTCATATGCTTCGTTGATCTGATTGGTTTATTTGGCCCGTCTATCACCAACATAGGCCAATCAGCTAACCAGTATTTTCGCACCTTCCCAAAATTACTTCAACGGAAGGTTTCCAGATGGATATGCGGAGCAAATCCATCTGGCAGAGTCAGGTTAGCATTAAAGAAGGTTTATTACAGAATGAAGGCGAAACAAATTTACGCTGGATGAGTTCTGGATAGAGCATTTTGAGTTTTTGCAAGATGTTTTTATATTTTTTTTTTGCAGTTTTGGTATAATTACTGCTCTAAGTGGGTCGCTCTGTCAGCTAATCGCATGTGTTAGTCTCTATACTCAAGTTACTATTAATCAGTGACTAAAGTGGTTGACTATTATGACATTAATCGATTAAACGTGATTAGTCCAGTTAGTTGTTTCCGCCCTACTCACAATTATAAGATCACTTTCAGCAAGGTACGTTAACGATTCAAAAGTGGCATCTACGCTAATTAGAAACACTTTGAAGTGTTTTAGACTTTGTTTTACACTTTTACAACAAATAATTTAGACAAGCCGATTGACCTAACAGTCATGCTTTTGGACTGTGGGAGGAAGCCGGAATACCTAGAGAGAACCCACGCATGTTCAGGGAGAACATGCAGTCTCCATGCAGAAACACCCCGAACCTGGAACCTTCTGGCTGCAAGGCAGCAGTGCTAACCACTGCAGCCAACTTTACAAATGTATTATCAAACATCTTGCAGTGGATTTCACAGTGCCCCCTGCTGTTAAACCGGAACAACTGAAGGACATTTTATCCCTTTACTCTTCCTAACCTTTGTCCTTTACAGCTGCTGTGTGTTAAATCTGTTTCCAGCATAGCGCTAATCTAGGTAATCATGAATAGCACACAATGGGATTTATTTTGTTGCAGGGGGAAAAAAGTAAAAATCGGTAAAGTTGTTGCTGAGAAACTTTGTACATATTCTGCCACCTGTAACTGTAGAAATATAGGCTAAGTGTTTCACCCAGTAAATACAAACTTTAATTGAGGATAATTGAACTTTTTTTTTTGTATTTTTGCAGTGCTGTTACTTTGGCTTGAAGTAGAACAGTTACTTATTCCAGCTCTTCCAACAGACCTCTTACTTCTGCC